TGACTAGATCGGCGAAACACTTTCATTCATTCATATATATATATATGTATATATAGAACCGATACCAGTATTCCATTACACTATCGAAGTACTTTAACTTTTCAATGCAATTTGCCAAATATCCCTCCACTCTCTAGAACTGGGAAGCAGAACGGAGTAATCTTGAGGCGCAGATGCAACAGCTCACTGCTGAAAGGGCCGAATTAACTGTTTACAAGGAAGAACTGCTTGGATACCTGGAAAAATCTAAAGCCGCAGAGGAAAAATCAGACAAGGAAGAAAATGAACGCCATCTTGGTGAGCTCACCCGCGAAATTGTCAAGCTGCGAATTAATGAGGGTGTTCTTATGCGAAAATATACCTCAGTCAGTGACCAACTGGTCAGCTTGGAGCAGGTAGTTTCTGCATTTCAAAATAATAATAAAAAGCCCTCTCCTCCCACCTTTAACAAAAATTACAAGTGATTTTTTCTTTTTTACTGCCTCATACAGGAAAGGAACCGGCTCAGAGGTGATCTCATTCATCACGAATCTGCGTGTATGGCTAGAGTGGGCTACTATTCTCGTCTCAAGGAAATATCAGCTTTTCAATTTGATCAACTACAAAAACAGTTGAACGGTACGGTTTCGGTCGGCGAGTTGTTCACACTCAGACGCCAATTTGACGAACTGACCGCCAAATACCGGGAGTTACTGGAACTGCAGGTCAGGGCCGACGTTGTGAAGTCGGCTTCTGGCGAAACACAGGCGCGTTTTCAAAGGCTGGCAGAGGAACATGAAGCCGTGAAGGCCCAATTGGTCGTGGCAAAAGAACGTGTATATATACTGGAGTCCTCATGGATGGCTGTCGGCAAAAAGGTCAGCATTTTTGGTTTCTTCCCCTTGCGACATACGTTTGGTAATGTAATCGTAGTCGCTAATCCACGAGATAAAGAGGCAATAAAATTATATCTCTTATATCTTATATATTATATCTCTTAGTCACGCCTTACTGTTTTAATAAAACCACCTAAAGGTGCTTGGTTCATTCTTGGGTGACAATTCATTTACGACAGATTGTGTACACTCTAACTTATCCCCTCCCTCTCCTGCCACTTCCGATGCAGCTCATGTTTATGCCACC